AGGGTTTCTTTGAAAGCAATAATTCACATGAAGAACATGATGTGAAAAAGAATAAAAACTATGTGAAAAAGAATGAAGCAACAAATAACACAGTGGTAGGTTTCTTTTTATTGCCACAAGTGAACAAAACAAATTTTTGGATCCCAAAAGAAAAACTGATTGCTCTGCTATTACAAATACAGCATTTTTTAAACCACTAATCCCTCAGCGTTCTTGAGTTAGAAGAAAATACGTAGGATTTTTTTTTTTATCCCCTTTCATTCACCATACCTAATTTAAGAACCATTTTTACAAAAGCATAGTTAGCTAATACATACTGAAATTGAACAAGACAGCTGTTAAATGAATTTTGCTCCATTTTACAACCTATCTTGCATAGTTGTTAAGTGAATCATTGTAGTTGTTAAGTTAGTAACATGTTAAGTGAACCTGGCTTCCCGATTGATTTTACTTGTCAGAAGGTCACAAAAGATAATCATTCAATCCTGGGATATTACAGCTGTCATAAATAAATTCCAGTTTCCAAGCATCCAAATTTTGAGCATGTGACTATGGAGAGGCTGCAACAGTTGTAAGTGTGAAAAATGGCCACAAGTCACTTTATTCACTAACATTGTAACTTTGAATGGTCACAAAATGAACAGTTGTAAGTCAAGGACTACCTCTACACCATTCACACAAAAGTACACAGACAGAGAATGACAGGAGAACAGAAACATTTAGACATAAACATGTACACATTCTTTTGTTCCCATAGGCTACCATCTATGGCCCCTGCTAAAATAATGTTGGAAAGATTTCTTGGAGCCAATGAACCTTATTTTCAAATAAACATGCATAGGATTGTTCTGCCTATATCATACCATTGCCTCAGGCTATTCCTACTATTGTAAAAATGTAGAAGAAAACAAGCTAAGAATTTTCCATTATTTAATTTACATAAAAAATTAGAAAATAGTGCCTACTGTACTGTATTTTCTCCATTATTACTACACATTCCTCTATAGCCATTAGCCTATAAATGCCATTCTTTTATTTGTTTCTGTACATTTTCATTTTATGCTAAATGTATTAGTTACAGTAAATATCTTTGGTAACGATTTCAGGATATATGATAAATTAGGCTAAATAGGAAACAGCTTTTCATTCTCTGCAGCATAAGAAATGAATAAGTTTCATAGATATTTTAGTGGCAGATGACTGGCTTTCATTATCTGGGTATTTATTTCCTAAATAAGTTAAAAATGCAAAGCAAATAAATGTGGATCTTCCTTCCATTATTCAGCTGTGAATATAGATTGGACTAGATGGCTCTGTCTGCATTTGTCATTATGAGGTAAGGTTAACATAATGTAGAAAATTGGTGTTATTTGCACAATTTTGAGTTCACATGGGATAGCTGCAAGATATATTTGGGGGGGAAATTATTTAGAGATGGTCTATGGTTATGATAAGAAAAACAAAGATTTTTATATTAAACCCCTGCCATCCACTCACCACCTTTTTGGAATATAAGGACTTTTTAATTGATAAATGTAAATCGCTCCTTTCTAATTTTAAAATCAGAGATAAATAATCCGAGACTCCATGGCTGCATTCGGTAGCTGAAAAATAAATACAGCCTTGAAGGCCTCAAAAAATTGTTTAAAAATTATATTTTTAATGTTATCACAGAGAGAACGTTATTAAATCCATGGGTGGAGCATGATCACCTTCAATGCACTTAGTTCAATGCTTCATGAATGAATATACAGTATATGCTACTCAAAGACCAAGACCCATAATGTATAATAGGTTATAAAGGAGCCTTGGTGGCGCAGCGGACTAAAGTGCTGTTAAGTAGCACTTAGCTGCCAGCTGCCTGCAATTACTGCAAGTTCAAATCTCACCAGGCTCAAGGTTGACTCAGCCTTCCATCCTTTCGAGGTAGGTAAAATGAGGACCCGGATTGTGGGGGCAATAAAGTGACTTTGTATAAAAAGGAACACTGCTTAGGGGGGCCCGAAAGCCCTACTAAGCAGGTATATACAAAAGTATGAAGGCTATTGCTTAACGCATTGTAAGCCACCCTAGTCTCCAGGAGAAGGGCAGCATATAAATCGAACCAATAAATAAATAAATAAATAAATAAATAAATAAATAAATAAATAAATAAAATAAAATAAAATAAAGCTCTCTTTTAGAATGAGGTAGAAAATAGTCTTTCTTTTCCATTGTCATTTATATAATGCTAATGGGATTTGCTAATACTTAGCACTAGGAGTTCAGATATGATGTCTAAAATATGTTTCAGAATATGTATCATAAGTCTACAATCCTTTAAAGCTGATATGTTTCATAAGCTCACCCTTATGATTTATTTATCTACCAGAAAAAGGAACTTTCCCATCCCCTCCCCAAAAAAGTAATTATCAAACGTATTCACCAATAGGAAGAGAAGTGTTTGCCATCCAAATAATTACATAAGAATTGGGCAAATATTATACACATTTGAAGTGCACCTCTTTTCTTTTTTCTTTTTCTTTTCTTTTTCTGTCTATTCTTTCTTTTCTAGTCCATCTGATTGCCCCACCTATATCCACAAGAAGGAAGGCAAGGTATTTGTGAGCTTATATGTTTTTGTGTGAGAAAATAGTTCATGAGAGAATGGATGATTGGTATATACCAACCAAATAATACATAGGAGTTTCTCTCTCTCTCTCCCTCCCCCGCTACACACATACACACACACACACACACACACACACACACACACACACACTTCCTTTGAGAGAATCAAAGAACATCTTCCTTTTGGCATAATATGATGGCAATGTTTGACGAAGAAATTGGTTGCATCTAGAGATAAGGTATATAATCTTTAATATCTGAGGACTTCTAAATGAAACTTAAGCTACATGTGCCAATTATGCAGAATAACAGCATACATTGTGGAACACTGTTACTAAACAGCTACTGGAAGTCGAACAACTTAATCTTGCTGAATGCTAAATAAAATCCTGGAAGAAACTAAGAACTACAGACCTACTATATACATATAGTTGCCAATTAATTGTGAATGTAATGCAAATTATAATATACAATTAGCTATTAGTTTTTAGTTTAGTTTTGTTACACTGCCATCTTTCCTTTTTTTTTATCTGAGCTGTTGAGAATCCAATAATTAATATATAAACCCTAATATTTACTTATCTGCTTAGGTTTATAAAGTGCTTCAAAGATAGAGATATTATAGCTCTGAATTGAAAATCCAGCATTACAACACTGAAATGTCAACCTTCCTCTCATTATTCATATTATATTTGGGAAGACATAAATGGAAAGGTGTTTTACTTGTCTATGTTATTAAGAAATCCAGGCTGGCTCATCACATTTTGCTACTTAAGATGAAATACAAGTTGGTGCCTTCACTCATTCTAAAGATATAAGGCAACCAAACTGGCAGTTGAACATTACTTCTTTCATTATAGCTGAAGGGGAAGGTTGTTTGTTATATATTTTGTTGTCTGGTAAATTACTTGGTATTTCCCATCACCCAGTATCCGCTATCTGATGCAATTTCACTCTGTGTAATGGCGATGTTGGCTCTGCATCATTCCAACACAGAGTTAAAATGCTACATGGCAAGCAAGATTTCTAGAGGAAAACATAGCCTTCTTGTGTGGCTACTTTTGTAATTCTTAGGGGATTTCTGTGCATGTGTCCATGCATTGCTAAATGTGCCCGAACAGAAAAGATCAGGACTTCACCTTAGCTGTATGTCTATGTCATGAAGGACAAGCAAGAAAGGAGAATAATGGAATAATTTGCTTTCATCTCTTGTATAAACAAAGGATATTGAAGATATTCTTAAATACTCACAACATCTTGTGAGATCAATAATGATTTAATCATGGAGCTTGCAAGCTGAAGCACTCATCTAAAGGAGTTTTGTTTTGTTTTTTGTTTTGTTTTTTTAGATTCTGACTACTGTGGTGAATCTATCTTATTTATCCCAAAAATCACAACTGGACTTCTCTGAAAAGACACTAGGTATTTTAACTCTTTCTCAAAGGAAACAATACACAAGATTAGTGTCAAACCAACACATGACATTTTACAATCAGAACAGAAGGTGTAATGCTTATTTAGTACCGTTTAAATTTCTTTAGTAGGATAAAACATAGAGATTTGATTGAGCACCTTCTGTTTTTATGCTCTCCACAGTGAAACAGGCTCCAGAGAAGTAATAGTATCCTATATGGACTACTCTTACTCTTTCGCAAAATTCACAATCCACTATTTTCATGTTATGGGTAGGTACCATTCCAAAGGTTAACAATTGTATGAAAGCTCTATAAACCTATTTCCTATCCATTCTGGTGTGACAAGTTAAAATAAAAAGTACTATGTGTGCAAAGTTACAAATGGCCATGGTAACTGCTCATCATGGACAAGTGTTCATATGAATTCACCCTCAGCACCATTCTTCAGATAAAATTGCTGGGGGATTGTTCTACCTAGTTTGCCAGGATTCAGAAATGAGGATAATTTGCAGAAAAATAAATTTCCAAGCCATTAGCTAATCATGAATTTCTGAACACTTGAGAGCAGCTTCTCAGTATGCAAGTGCCCCGGAGTAAATGATGCTATCTGCCTGCCTGTGATAACTATTGCATATATTACTTGACCGTTCAGCTTTCACAATTACACAATTCAGCAATTCACAGAATAGTTACGTGCCCTGGCCATGTTGTTACTAAGTCGTTAGACACATTAGCATAAGGAACTGAGAAAAAGGCTAGAACAATTTTAGTAAATACTGAAAGGAAAGATATTTTCTGTATCTTCTAAAAACAGGGGTGATCACAGCTATGTCTTTAATCTTTTTCAGCCATATTTTCTAGGCATTCACAGCTGATCTCTTTCAACACTCTGTGAAGTCACAAGTTTTATCTTGTGACATCATCAAGGAATCTTCATGCTTTTTGTGACATCAACTGAACTTGCCTCCTGAGTCTGGAGACTTGGCAGTAGACTAAGCAATACTTGTTTTCTGACATCTAGCAGGATATGAATTTACATGCGTTTTAAAACGAGGTAATCCTCACCTAGTTTATATATGGAAGATTTAGTGATGAAGTTCTGTATTGCCTGTAGCTGTACATTGAATGACAGGCAGAGATGAAAAATGAACTTGAGCTCTGGCTTTCCAAGCATGAACTGCCTGCTAGATACATGTCATTCACTGAATATATGTGATAGTGTAACCAGTAGTAATAGTAATACAAGGCAGTAGTACTAAACATTCAGAGCAAAGACATACGAGGTAAATCTTCTCCTCTTAGTTAATAATGAATAGAATAGAATAGAATTTTTTATTGACCAAGTGTGATTGGACACACAAGGAATTTGTCTTGGTGTACATGCTCTCACTGTACATAAAAGAAAAGAGACATTCATCAAGAATCATAAGGTACAACACCTAATGATATCATAGGGTACAAATAAGCAATCAGGAAACAATATCAATATAAATCATAAGGATACAAGCAACAATGTTACAGTCATAAATGGAAGGAGATGGGTGGTGGGAACAATGAGAAGATTAATAGTAGTGCAGACTTAATAACTAGTTTGACAGTCTTGCGGGAATTATTTGTTTAGCAGAGTGATGGCATTCGGGAAAAAACTGTTCTTGTGTCTAGTTCTGGTGTGCAGTGCTCTATAGTGTCATTTTGAGGGTAAGAGTTGGAAGAGCCAAAGTGGCACAGTGGTTAGAGTGTAGTACTGCAGCTACTTCAGCTGACTGCTAGTTCAGCAGATCAGCAGATCAAATCTCACCAGCTCAAGGTTGACTCAGCCTTCCATCCTTCCGAGGTGGGTAAAATGAGGACCCAGATTGTTGGGGGCAATATGCTATTTAGTATACTGTCTTTGGTGTAAGCCGCCCAGAGTCCTCGGAGAGTGGGCGGCATAGAAATATGAATAATAAAATAATAATAATAATAATAAATAAGAGTTGAAACAGTTTATGTGCAGGATATGAAGGGTCTGTAAATATTTTCACAGCCCTCTTTTTGACTTGTGCAGTATACAGGTCCTCAGTGGAAGGCAGGTTGGTAGCAATTGTTTTTTCTGCAGTTCTAATTATCCTCCGAAGTCTGTGTCTGTCTTGTTGGGTTGCAGAACCAAACCAGACAGTTATAGATGTGCAGATGACAGATTTAATAATTGAGTCTGTCATCTGCAGACTCAGGCTGTAGAACTGTATCAACAGCTCCTTGGGCAGTTTGAGCTTTCTGAATTGGCGCAGAAAGAACATTCTTAGTTGTGCTTTTTTGATTATGTTTTTGATGTTAGCTGTCCATTTTAGATCTTGCAATATGGTAGAACCTAGAAATTTGAAGATCTCTACTGTTGATACCGTGTTGTCTAGTATTGTGAGAGGTGGAAGAATGGAAGGGTTTATTCTAAAGTCTACCAACATTTCTATGGTTTTGAGTGTGTTCAGTTCCAGATTGTTCTGGTTGCACCATGAGGCTAGTTGTTCAACCTCCGTCTGTATGCGGATTCATCATTGTCTCGAATGAAACCGATCAATGTTGTGTCATCTGCGAACTTCAGTAGTTTAACAGTTAATAGTTAATAATGACATATTCTATGATTTTATAGTAGTGATACAGAGTTTTCCTCTATAAAATTTCCCTTCTCTATAATTTCATCTTCTTTAAAATTAGAATAATTGTTCTGAACATTTCCTACTAAATGATTGCAAAACTTTCATTACTGATGATTCATTATAATCCAGGATAGCCTAAATTTTATTATATTCTGATTTCAAAACAATTGACCTGCCCACAGCTCCAATGGAGATCCAATGAGGAACATTAAGGGAGTTCATATACGAAAAGGCTGGCAAAGCCTACTCTCTTTTACTTCTTGACAAAACTACGTGTTCATGAGGTGCAAAGAAATTGTTTTGGAATGACTTATATAACAAGCTTTTGAAATATGACAAAAAGATAATATTTTAACACTTGTGATTTGCCTCTGGATAGTCCAAAACATATTGACCCTGATTACAACTGAAACACCATGAATTACTTCCAGTTGCAGAAGATTTACTTACAATGAACTGCACTTGAAATAGTCAGATTGGCATGGTCTGAGTTAAAATGGAATACTGAGGTGTTCACCAAAATGAACAAATTATTTCATCAAAATAACTTGTGCCCAAAACAGTTTGCCTTTCCCATCCTTAAATAAAATCATTTTTGTCTTAAATTTTATCAGTTTGCAAGTATGTACACTTATAGTGAGAATTCTAGTGTAGTGGGGGGGGGGCAATAACCAAAGAGAAAGATGACTGAGGGGGAAAAAAACTGGTGATAAAGAGGCTGTGAAATTTTGAAGGAAAGAGCTTAACGTTAGTTGGAACCCACCAGTTGATTTACAGGGATTTATATTTTTGCAGAGCATACAGGATTTGTGTAAATAGAACCAAGCATATTGAGAATATCTAGGGAAAGATGCTTAGCACCCCAAAAAAAAGCAAATAAAACAGAAAGCAGAAAGTTACATGCCCTGGTAGAAAACTTGCATTTTTGAGATTTTTGTCCTCATGGTTGGAAAGAAGGCAGTGTTTTTGACTAGGCAAATAGTGTAAGTAACTAAGTAAACAAATGAATGTAGCTGAAACAGCCTAGGGCAGTGATGGCGAACCTTTTTGCCGTTGCGTGTCAAAAGTGGGGGGAGCATGGGAGGGGGTCGTGTCATGCGTGCGTGTGCCCTCACCCATAATTCAATGTGTCCCGCCCCCTCACATGCATGCGCGACCCCCCCCGCAACCCCCGCTTTTGGCACATGATGGCACGGTGGGCTGGGTAGGCCCATTTTTTACCCTCCCCCAGTGAAAGGCTCCAGAGGCTTTCTTGTCTGGGGAGGGCAAAAACAGCTTTCCCCCCTCCCCCAGAGACCCTCCAGAGGCCAGAAACAGCCCATTTCCCGACTTCCAGTGGGACCAGAAGGCCCGAAAATCAGTTGACCAGCATGTGCATGCACCCTGGAGCTGAGCTCAGGCGATGCTCGCATGCCCATAGATATGGCTCCGCATGCCATCTGTGGCATGCGTGCCATAGGTTCGCCATCACAAGTCTATAACAATGGTGGTGAACCTTTTCAGCACTGAGTGCCAAATAGCATGCGCACATGTCTGGGCTGAAACCCAGAAGAGGAGCTGCACAGGGCGCATGAGTGCAGACAAAAATGAACTTCCAGTTTCAGGTACTGAACTTCCAATTTCAGCCAACTATTCTTCTGGGTTTCTGGCATGCATGCGCATGCAACGATCAGCTGGCCAGTGCACATGCTCCCGCCAGAAAATGGAAGACCAGCTCTTCTAGTTTCCAGCACTGCCACATGCAAAAAGGCCAGCTGATCATCATGCATGCATGTGCATCAGAAACCTGGAAGAGGAACGGGCAACGCCGCACATGCTAGGTGACATGATGCCTTGTGCCACTTCAGGCAGGTGTGCCATAGGTTCGCCATCACGGGCCTAGGGTTACCAAACTACTAACTGGGAAAATGGAGCAGGGACAATGCAGGAGTTCCTTGCTTGCTATTTCAACTTATAATTTATTTATTTATTTATTTTATTAAATTTCTATACTGCCCTACTCCCGAAGGACTCAGGGCGGTGAACAGCCACAGGATAAAACACATAAATACAAAAATTTAAAATAGAATAAAAACGAATTAAATAATTTGGCTGAACAAATTTAAAATACCCCATAATTTAAAAACAAATTAAAATTTACATTTAAAAAGGGGAGAAGATTTAGGCCAGGCCAGCTTTATGAAATAAAAAAGTCTTAAGCATGCGACGGAAGGTGCGCAGATCCGGGATCCTCCGTATCTCCAGGGGCAGCTCGTTCTAGATCGTAGGTGCCCCCACAGAGAAGGCTCTCCCTCTAGGGGCTGCCAGTTGACATTGTTTGGCCGACGGCACCCGGAGGAGCCCCTCTCTATGGGAGCGTACTGGCCGGTGGGAGGTTATTGGTGGTAGCAGGCGGTCCCATAAATAACCAGGTCCTAAGCCATGGATAATGCCTTTAAGAGTCACTATTATAATCACTATAATAAAATATGCAGAATCAATATTTCTGGAGTTTCAGTCCAATAGTTTACCTGTTAAAAAGAAACATCTGGGGTTCTTACAAAGGCATGCAGCCCTCCTACATTCTTCTCTAAAGTAGATCAATATGTGGAAAACCCAGTCTCCCCTTCCCCATCTTTCCTATTCCTCACACCATCTCCCCTTTTTATTTATCTGCAAATAGAGAACTGGGAAGGTTACAGTGATAGTAAAAGAGGAATGATAGAAAAACATTCCTCCTCTCCTTCCATCTTCTTCATTGTGCTGTTCCCCACAGTACATCAAGCTTATGATGTCTGGGAATCTGAAGCCTTCAGAAAGGCTATTACACATAATAGTGGTCCTTGAAACCATTTTAATTCTCAAGGATCATTGCTCTCTCTCTCTCTCTCTCTCTCTCTCTCTCTCTCTCTCTCTCTCTCTCTCTCTCTCTCTCTCTTGGTGAGCTATGAAGCTTATCTGGATAAAAAAAAAAAATGAAAAGGATAGCAAAGTATTCATTCCTTATGCTCTCTTAAAAGGGAACAGTTGACAAGGCTGGGGGCCTGCAAGTTGGTGGGAAGATTTTGTTTCTAAAATTCCTCTCATTGTTTTGGGCAATGAAATATGTTTCTCAATTAAAACAAAAACAAAACAATTCATTTTCCACTGTGAAAAGCTGACTGTGTCCCATCCATCCCTACATGGCATATAAAGACCGCACTCATGTATCCATAACATAGAGCATTATAGATTTGCGTCAAATTCTGCTGCTAGATTCTAATTTTTGAACCATTTCTTTATAGCATAACCATATATTCAAAATAAGGAATGGGGTGGCTCAGTGGCTAAGATGCTGAGCTTGTCGATCGAAAGGTTAGCAGTTCAGCAGTTCGAATTCCTAGTGCCACATAACAGGGTGAGCTCCCGTTACTTGTCCCAGCTTCTGCTCACCTAGCAGTTCAAAAGCACATAAAAAATGCAAGTAGAAAAATAGGGACCACCTTTGGTGGGAAGGTAACAGGTAAATAAATACCTGTGGCATTTAGTCATGCCGGCCACATGACCACGGAGACGTCTTCAGACAGCACTGGTTCTTCAGCTTTGAAACAGAGATGAGCACTGTCCCCTAGAGTCGGGAACGACTAGCACATATGTGCAAGGGGAACCTTTACCTTTACCTTTATATTCAAACTCATTTTATTTAATTTATTTATATGCTGGAGTTTCTAAATACATTTTTTTCAATAGCTAGAAAAAAAAGGAACTAATGATGGGATTTGGGATTGATTTCAAATGCAATTAATCCCAGATCTGGAATGAGGTTCAAGAAGAAACATTATCTCAAATCATTTGGCAGGTGATAGTGAGCAAGGCCCTTATTGTATAGCAGTGACAGACTCATTTTCTTGAGCCATCTGGAATTTTATTAAATTCATCGTGGCATGCCTGCAAAGAAAAAAAAAAACCCACCCTCACTTTTTTTTCAAATTAGAAAGTTAAACTACACGTCTTTCAGGCTTTTAAATGCCATCTGCTTTACCAATCATGAGGCAATATTATTTTTGAATCAACTGATATTTAAAGATTTCAGTCGTTGTATGTTCTGTTACATTACCAGATGTTGGTTCTAATCCACTTGGAAACAGACGGAGCTCTCTGCTTATCAGCTGATGCCATTGTTGTATATGGATACAGCATCAAATCCTGGCTCTTCTGGCACCATTGCATCTTTCTTACAAATGGCATATCTCCATGTCAGAAGTGGTAAAGAAGGAAAAATATATCTTTCACAGCAGAAAGAGTGTGCTAACTTCATGATACGATAATGCCAGTGATGTAATGCTTTTATACTTTATAAAGAGAAAGAGAATTTTTTGATTTGGTCTTTTGATGTGAAGCTATGTTAATTTTAATAGCCAATAGATGAGCACCCATTGGCTACCAGTCAGCAAAGACTGCATTGTTCTAACTTCTTGGGAGTGGCAAATTATGATTGTCTATTGGTTCTCTATGAGTACTATAGAACTTTAAAAGAATAAATGGTTCCTGTTCCTATACTGTCTATGCTATCATTCAAGCCTTGATTTCTTTTCAAGAATAAAATAAGAAGACATGTGCAAAATAAACTGTAGTCATCTAAAAGTGCAAAAAATAAACTGTAGTCATCTAAAAGTGCAAAAAAAAAAAAGATCATGTGCAATCCATAAATATCTCTAAAGATACTATTACAGTAAAAAAATGAAGAGGGGAAAGTGAATCAAGAAAAAAAATGAAATCAGAATAATAAAGAAATAATCAGAGGAAGTAAGATAAGATCATGGAAGATAAAGAATCTTACTGCACAAAAATAACTATCAGAAGAAAACAGTTTAAGAGGAATTGACATAAATAGAAGTGGATAATTATGGATGGATCTAAAGAAAATAATGAGAGGAAAAATAGTAAAAGCTAAAAGGTTGAAAAGCAAGGGAAAAGAAATATATGATATATTTTTAAGTAGGGTGTTTTTTAAAAAAAATAACATAAGTTGATCTCAATGATAATGCTAGTTGAGCATTCTGTGTTAAAATAATTGGAAAATCAGCCTCTTATTGCCATAAATTGATTGATTTTGAGACAACAAGCTCAAAACCATGTAAGAGAACCTAGCAACACTTAATACTAATGAAATCCATGTCCTCTTCAAAACTGGCCTGTGTTACATTAGTAATTGCAATGAATATTGGAGTATTGTGTCCTGCAACACCACCATGTGGTAAATCTGTTTTCATTGTGTTAGTCTCAGACAGAAAGTTGTCAACTCCCTGAAGGAAGGAATAATAATAAATATAATTTTGAAGCATTCTGTTATCTAAAAAAATTATCAAGAGAGTAGTTTAATTATTTAGATACTAAAAGTGGTAACCACACAGTGATGGTGATAAAAAAAAAACAGATAAAAAACTGTGATCCTTGTAACCTGATAATTTTTAAAGGAATTAAGACAAAATTGTGTGTCTAGAGAGCTGTTTGTGGTCATTACAAATGTAGAAAACATAACACAGTAATTAGAGAAGGAATTTTGGCATTATGAAGGATATGAAAATGCAAATGCACGAATGTAGGTAGGAAATCAGGGAACCAAACATAGAAGGGGGTCGGATTACTGGGTGGAAGAAAATAGCGAATCTAAGTGGAAAATATTGAAATCATTTAGATAGATGAAAACTAATTCAACAGCATTTGAACTGTGAGGCACCACAAATTCTTCTTTGATTGTTTAGTCTTCATGAACCATAGAAAATGTGCTATTCCATAGACCAATGTGGCTGAACAGATCAGAAGAAGTCAAAGTCTATAACCTCTCAGCTTGGAACAGATTGTGTAATCATTTTTCTTGTCCATATTCATATTAAGAGCCCATTTGACATTATGACCATCTTTTTTTCAGACATAATTAACATTTTGTAGCCAAGCTGCTAAGAAGATGGGATAGTTTTAAAGTTATTCCATTACTGATACTCCAAAAAGTGTTATAATTTGCCTCTTTAAGTCTCTAAATATACAATCATATATTTACAATTTCATTAGGAGTGAATGTTCCTGTGAAAATAGGGCAGGGATTTCTGGCACAGCCTGAGTGGCATCTGATTTTTCAGATCAGACAATAGCATACAATTGCTACAAATCTGTGCCTCTGGTGGCCTAAATAGACTGAAAGAGAATCTTGCTTTGTAGAAAAGAGTTGTTCGAAAAATAATCTTAGTAAAAGGGTAGCATTTTGTACCTTCATTGAAATCCCTTACTAATCTGAATGTCTTTCATGCAACAATGTACTGGCTGATTTCTTAATATTCAAACTATTGTGAGGAAATGAAGAGTGCTTTAGTGCTAAATAAGATCTGAAAACAGATTTCAGGCTTGTATTTCTGTGTGTCTTGGATCTTTCAACTTTTGTCTTTAGGATCAACTTCAGATATGACAAAACATGTTTGGTCTTCATATATTAAAGAAACAAATTAACACCCATGTAATATGTTATATTGGTTCTTCCAATCATGGCAAAATTATCTAGATTATTGATTACATGGTGTGAACTCAGGCCTCCATGTTACTGTTGTTACTATTGCTACCTGAGATTGTCCCTCAGCAGAAGAGGAATAATCTGATCCTTTCATAGAATATATGATGTGAATTGATTTTGATTCTACACAGGATAGTGTTATTAAATGACTTAATGAGCTAAAGATCTGTCCTAGATTCTGGCCTTTAGGGAATGTTAGCAGGTATTGGTAAGTAGAGAGTTGCATTTTAATTCTGTCCAAAGCAAAATCTCAAATATGATCTACATTCAGCCTAAAGAAAAATTTCAAAGCTGTTTCAAAAACCATAACCCTTATACAGTGACAAATTCCTACATGGAATCAAGAATTTCATAGGCCAGTAGAAAGGAAGTTACAAATCTCTCTCTCTCTCTCTCCCTCTCTCTCTCTCTCTCTCTCTCTCTCTCCCTGCCTGCCTGCCTGCCTGTCTGTCTGTCTGTCTGTCTATATCTATATCTATAACTATATCTATTCTGTCTGTGTCTGTCTGTCTGTCTATCTATCTATCTATCTATCTATCTATCTATCTATCTATCTATCTATTATCTATCTATCTATCTATCTATCTATCTATCTATCTATCTATCTATCTATCTATCTAAATGTTATATATATATATAACAAGATCATATTGCTGAAATTTTGACCTGCCCTTATAATATAAAACAATACTAGTGGTTGGGGAAGCATTATTGATAGGAAGAAATATTGGCCAAAACCAATTACAGTGAAAATAAGTACATGGGCATAGATGCTTCCAAAAAAAATGTTCCTGATGGGATATCCATCTGGTCTGCAAATGGAATGCCAGATTGCTTGCAATTTCAGTACTGAAGGCATATTTAGAAGCAGAAGCCAATGAAATATACATAATTGCTGTATCATTCCTCTCATCAAAGAAGTCAAAAAATTCCCTATTCCTGAATTTATCTTTCTAATCCACTCAGACACTCTGTGAAGATTATTTTATGAGCAATCAAATATGAGTCTGCAGTGGTCCTTTGGGTAAGTCAGTATATTTCAGCTCCCCTTGGAGGTGATAGTGATGGATTCTAAATTGATATTAGGAAAGCACAACTCATACTTTGCTTCCCACATCAATGCTTGTTTGGGAGGCATGCAAGTTATTTCAGAATTAGCTACATCAAATAATTGCTCCCATTTGTTGGCATCATTCTTAAAGTATCTTAATTTGCATCTATACTCGGTCATATATTCAAGTGTTGGGTGACCTTTGGATGTCATAGTTTTAACTAAAACATTGTTGCACTGGCTAAGATTCAAATAGTCAAAAGTGATGAGGCCAAATTATGATAATAATATATTTATGAATGCCAGCAACCCTATCCTGGGGAGCTTATGGAACCCCCGATGAGGACGACCTTTTCATCTGATACTCTGTCCATAGGGAACCAACCTTACCATTGAGTTTTCTGTGCTTGGAATTGGACTCCCCCTGTGGCTTAAAACCCTTGAAATTATTTCAAGTTGTTGTAAGCAAATCCAGTGTGTCTATCTGATGAATCTCCTGAGACAATTTAACAGTATGAGAAGGAGCTAAGGAGGGAAAGGAGACCTTCTTCCTGTAGAGATGCAGAGGCCCTAGCAGTGATGTTTAGATAGCTCCATGGGAAAGAAATCTTTCTCACAGCAGAATCATCTTCCCTGAAACAAACCAACAGGCAATTTCTATTATCTGCTTAAAACAAATGCCTGGATGCTGCTGTACACCCTGAAGTGGTTTTCAGTGCCATCTCTTAAAGATCCATATCAGCTGATAGTAGGCAGTTGGTAAAAGGGAGGAATTGCTCCATAATTAACCTCTTTCATTCCTTGGATTTCATCACATACAGAACAATTATATTTATCAGGGCAGAGCCCATTAAACCTAATTTAGAGGTCAACATTGCTGTTGATTTAACTAATTAGAGAAGGATGCATGGAATCTTCCTGGATACTGAAAGGTTTGGATTTTTTTTAAAAAAAATGTTTTAATATTTGGCTATAATATGAAATGAATTTAATGATTAAAACGAATATACAAAATGAATGATAATTTGTAGATAGATGGCCAGATATCTGAAGAAAGAATTAGGAGCTGAAATCTTAATCTAGTTCTGGCTTGGACTGATTTGCCCTGAACTAAAATATTATTTTCCCAATGATGTCTTAGTGATGATCTGCTTTGTTCATAAATCTCAGGTACAGGTGTCTTCACATCTGATTTTTGCAATTTCCTCAGATACTTAGTTACTGCGGCCAGTTATTTTCCGCAGATCCAGTTATTTTCCCTGATATGATTTTCACCAGAAAATTCTGGGGACTGATTCTAAGACCTTGCAAAATTGACATTTTACTAATGAGGTGCAGCTCATATAGCAAAGCTTGCAGCAAAGGGCTATAAAAGTGGCACTAATTGGAAAGGAGAAGCACTCCCTTACTCAGAAGAAAAATCAATCCTTTATAAAGTCAAATCAAAAATTAATAAAACTCAGCTTGACCCCACCCTGTATACACATGTCCTTTTTTTCAAGCTTCTCCAACAGTTTTCCACTAGAAATTTTTGAAGTAATAACTCCAGTATTGTCCCTGGTAAAAATAAAGGCCTTTTTCCTTTCCTTTCCTTTCCTTTCCTTTCCTTTCCTTTCCTTTCCTTTCCTTTTTTTTTTTTTTTTTTGAGGAGTTCTATATTTCAAAAGAATCCCTAACTTACACTCAGGTTTATTATTGGGCTTCAAAATGTAAGCAGAGAAACCAACATTGCTTGTACATTTGGGGCATGCTTTCACTCTTAACACAAGCAAATGTGGATTTCACTTTTTCAGGTGCCCTTCTTGAGGGCTTGCATCATTTAGAGGCTTGAGGGATTCAGCCAGTTCGCACTACTTTGGGAGAACCGGTTGTTAACTTTCTGAGCAGTTTGGTGAACTGGTTGTTGGAAGAAATCATTAGGGCAGAGAACCGGTTGTTAAA